AACGCATGTTGTGAATCAGAGATAAATATACTACAGTCTGATTGTATTCATTAATCTCTAATGTAATTTAGCAGTTAAGGCACTGACTGCTGTGATCGTATGACAATATTGTCTCAATAGATAAATGATTGTGATCGAAAAAGGATCATTTATATTGTCAATAAGCATAGTTTTGCAACTGCAGACAATGAAATGGTAAATAAAATCTAAATTGCATTCCTTAAAATGTGTTTATATGAGACAACGGTGCTTCACGCAAACCCAAAAATGTACCCCAAACAAAGGAAATAGGAGGTCCAAATTTCTGGACTAGGCCATGATGTGGGGTGTGCATTATAACATTTGTGTTGATATCGTATTCTGACAACATAGGCTCTAATAATGCACCTCAACCTATTGAAAACAGTTGATGACCTCGGCATCAACTCGGACTCTCCCTGAATCCATTCAGAAGACATACTTGGCATTTCACGGTGAACACAAGGATAGGCCCTTTTTCATCAGCAAACACCCAGGACTGGCGCCAGTGTATGGATGCATAGGCTGACATGAATAGGCCGACATGTTCGTACCTGTAGCTTCACACTGTCTATGAATCACAGCGGGAAATTCTGACAGCCTCCCAAGGTTCATAGGTAGGCCTCGAAACACACACACACACACACACACACACACACACACACACACACACACACATACATTCATATGCATACATGCCCCATTCCAACAGCCTGGAATGCCCCCATGCTCTCTGAAGCTGTCACATTAAAGTCATGCTAGACTATGAACGTTATTAACGTGATTAGTGTAATTAATATAAGAAGTAGTGAGATTAAGAGAGAGATTGTGATTCATATAAGAAGTAGTGAGATTAAGAGAGAATGTGATTAATATAAGAAGTAGTGAGATTAAGAGAGAATGTGATTCATATAAGAAGTAGTGAGATGAAGAGAGAGATTGTGATTCATATAAGAAGTAGTGAGATTAAGAGAGAATGTGATTCATATAAGAAGTAGTGAGATTAAGAGAGAATTTGATTAATATAAGAAGTAGTGAGATTAAGGGGGAATGTGCACATATGTACGCAAGGTGAGGCTTCCTCGAACCAAACATTTACATAACATAGCAACAACGCCAATTGAAAGAGACCTATATTTGTTTTCACCTCTATCTCAGTTACCGCTATACCGTGTGAACGACAACATCTGAGGGCTGTCAATAACAGTGAAGTTAGTGAAGTGACCTTGTTGCATGTTCAAATCATGTCAGGGTCATCAGCTTTTCCAAAAGATTGAGGTGAGATTAATAAAAAACACATCATTTAATTTATTTATCTGCAGGGCAATATCTCTTCATTCAGAATGTAGTTCACATTATTTAGAAAGAAAGGAGACACCCAAAGTCTTGGATTCAGAAGTAAACAAAGCAGTCTTTCTTTTACATGTTTTCACTTAGGCACAATTACCAAATGTGGAACAGGATTCTCTCAACAGTGCCTCGAAACCCCACAGCAGTACAGTAACACAATTGGTCACTGTACTATTTCAGTTCTCAATGTGTTCACACAAAATGCTTAATGCTAAACGCAATAGTCCTTGTGTAGATGCAATTCTCATTCAATTATGACAGGCCAGTCACAACAGATTGTACTTGTCTGAATCGGCTATGTACATTTCCTGTTCATTGGGTCAATTATTGCACGCAAAATACTATGTACAATGCGCCTTGTGTTTGTACAAAAGAGAAGGCCGGTAACTTTGAAGAGGAACAGACATGCTAACATGCTGTCAATTCCATCCCACAAGTCCAACTTGTGAACACTAAATACTCACAAGCATAATACTGCCCTATTCACCCTTCCTCAAGCCAATTTACTGTAAAAAATCAGCATGGAGGTGGAAGGTGTATGATCGCCAGCCCCATGACCAGGTAGCTTTACTGGATGCAATGAATGCTGGTTGTGAGGACATCACAGTTGAGGACTGCAGAGGGCTGTGACATGCCAGAAGGTTTTTCCCTCTGTGCCTTGAAAGGCAAGACATCAGCTGTGATGTTGATGAATTGCTGTGGCCTTAAAGGGAGGACAGACTGGATGCATACATAATAAGCATGTTTTTTTCTCATATTTGTGTGTCCAGGAAATATGTTGCATTGACAGCAACAGTACGTAAACACAATCTGTGTTTGTCAGGGTTCATGCAATGATCAAAACTCGCTGTACATTCGGTGACATTGTTGTACCAATTATATGACCGTGTGTTTTGACAAATGTGGGTAACATTGTGGTTGTTATAGGCTCTTGCACGGGTGGTTTAGTGTTAGGAGAAATTGTTTCACTGTCATGTGAATTGCAAGAGTTTTGAGAATGAAGTTAGACGAGTGAAAGCAGGCCATGTTAAAGGTTGCTCCAGGTGAGCGTCGAACTCATAACCCCGGCATTGCTCTGCTGGCTACTGCTGTATAAGTACCGCGCGCTAACCAATTGCGCCACTGGAGCTCACTTCCATGCATGCACATAAATGTGCATGTGCGGTGCGTTCCAGATGTATGATGGATAGATCAGCCTACCAGTTGGTACAGTCCACTGGGTAGGATGGTAGACTGATCTATCCATCATACATCTGGGTGGACACTCCCACTTGTGAGGTCACATAGAGGGTAGATTTTGAAATGGCTTGCAATGGCTAATCACACTCACACCTGGTGGTGAAATAGGTCCCCTTTAAGAGTTTTGAGAATTAAGTTAGACAGGTGAAAGTGGACCAAGTTAAAGGTTGCTCCAGGTGAGGGTCGAACTCACAACCTCGGCATTGCTCTGCTGGCTACTGCTGTATAAGTACCGCGCGCTAACCGATTGCGCCACTGGAGCTTATTTCCGTGACAGCTAACAAACATGCACAGGTAACTTTATTGATTAATTGTATATTCACAATGAGTAGAGTCTAAACATGGTGGATTCAGAGTATGGCTTCTTAGGTGTGCACATGCATACACACCCACAGTAAGTCACCAACGCTCCAGCATGTGAATGATGTCATGTTTTGGTGGGTGAATTCAGCCATAACACAGTGACCTTGTGGCGCAACGGTAGCGCGTCTGACTCCAGATCAGAAGGTTGCGTGTTCAAATCACGTCAGGGTCATCAGCTTTTCTGAAAATCCACACTAGGGTCAAGTTCATCAAATACACTTCCACCTAATACACTTACCAAAGCCAAAAGTTATCGCCACTATATTGTGTGAACGACGAGATGTGAGAACTATGGACAGCAATGTCCAGTGACCTCATGGGACAACGGAAGTGCATCTGACTCCAGATCAGAATGTTGTGTGTTCAAATCACGTTGGGGTCATTGCATTACCTACTTGGGGAGTTTCATATCTCGCAAATAGAGAACATCTAGGTGAGAAGAACATCTAACAGATGTGATTTCAACAATGTATACGCTGTGCAATGTCCCTCCATTATGAATGTAGTGAAATAGCTTCACTGTTTAGGAAGCAAGGATGTTTAAGTTAGAAGCTTCTCAACCTCAATATTTTTCTGCTGGCTACTGCATACCTACTGCTACCTACTGTATGAGTACCGCGCTGATTACATCACTGGAGCATGTTTGTGCATGCGTTCCAGACAGGTCACTGTTTATATTCAGGTCAATGTTTATATTCACAATGAGTATGGTCTAAATGCATGCACACCCACAGTAAGTCACCAACGCTCCAGCATGTGAATGATGTCATGTTTTGGTGGGTGAATTCTGCCATAACACAGTGACCTTGTGGCGCAACGGTAGCGCGTCTGACTCCAGATCAGAAGGTTGCGTGTTCAAATCACGTCAGGGTCATCAGCTTTTCCAAAAATCCACACTAGGATCAAGTTTATCCATTAGGTATATGTTGGTTAACGTGTAGAACTTAACCAATTAACTCAAGAAATAAGAATAGGTAGACTCACTGGAACAGGACAGCCAGCTTTTTTGACATCCACATTAATTGTGGTAAATTTGTGTGGCCATGATCTGATCATTTATGTGGATTGCACACACATGTCTTTGATAGGCAGTTAGTGATTTTTGGCAAAACTTAAGACTGCTCTAGAGGACCCTCAAACTCACAACCTCGGCATTGTTCTGCTAGCGTACCACGTGTTAACCAATTGCACCAATGGAGCACACCTACCTGAAGTGTGCTTAGGCACTGAAATGTATGCACACACACACAAACCGCCGCACTGTTTATATTCACAATGAGTATGGTCTAAATATGATGGATTTAGAGTATGACTTCTTAGGTGTGCACATGCATACACACCCACAGTAAGTCACCAACGTGCCAGTATGTGAATGATGTCATGTTTTGGTGGGTGAATTCTGCCATAACACAATGACCTTGTGGCGCAACGGTAGCGCGTCTGACTCCAGATCAGAAGGTTGCGTGTTCAAATCACGTCAGGGTCATCAGCTTTTCCAAAACTCCAGTAGGATCAAGTTCCTCATGAGTTCCTCCATTAGGTATACACTGGTTAACATGTGTAACTGAAATAAGAAAAGTTGGACTCACTGGAACAGGTCAGCCTGTCTGCTGCTGTGTAAGAACCAACGCACTACATTTGCCAGAAGCACTGAAATATGCGTATGCATGCACAGGACACCAAGGTCAAGTTAACAACAACAGTAGTGAATCTGACCCCCTGATCAGAACAGTGTGTTCAAATCCGGTCGGTGTCATTTGCATTTCACAGTTGTTCCTTTCTATAACAAAAAACAGTGATGCAATGGAGATAAATAAGAAAGCAGAGGAGGTAAGATCATACATTGTGACATTATTTCCCAAATGTATTTGCAGTTAAGGCTGGGCGATATGGACTAAATCAAATATCACAATATGTTTGACCAGGGCCAGGTCTAGGCAGGGGCAAGAGGGGGCCTGGCCCCCTCAAATAAATGTTGTGCCCCCTCAAACTAAATCCCTATATTATATTTTATATATTTTTATTATCTCATGCCTCTCTCCTCCACTCCACTTCTTAATGTCTTAATGTCTTTCTTGCCCCCTCAAATATAAAATATATCAAGTTGTTTCTCGTGTCATGTTTCTCGCCTCCGCTCCATCTCCCCTTTTCGCACTTGTTCAGTGTACCCGCATCCTAGTGAGTGAATTTGTCAGTTAGACATGGTAAAAGGTGCTGGAGCACAATGCCCCCTTAAGATTTGTGGCTGCCCCCTCATACATGCCTGTCTAGACCCGGCCTTGTGTTTGACCAAATACTTTGATATTACAACAGTATTGTAGTGTTCACTATTGGTGCTTTCACAAAATATTTACACAATGAGATTTTTGATAAACAATCATCAGTAATGTGGATGTATTGACTAAGTGGGTAAAGGCAAATAATAAAACAGCTGGAACAGTTCAGAAAATTACATCACTTTACTGTAATGCAGCCTTTAAAACCAGGAAAAGACAACACTTATACCACATCACGAGATTACAATATCCAAAATCTAAGACGATATATAGTCTCATCACGATATCGATATAGTGCCGAGCCCTATCTACAGTACAATGTCTCTTCATCGAGAATGTAGTTCACAACTATAATAGCATTATTTAGAAAGGAAGGAGACACTTTTACTGAACATACGGTTCGAAACAAACTAGCGAGTTTCTTCTTGGGTTACATTTTGGTTGTTATAGGCTCTTGCACAGGTGGTTTAGTGTTATGAGAAATTGTTTGACTATTACGTGAATTGCACTTACAGAATGAAGTCAGATGAGTGAAAGCAGGCCATGTTAAAGGTTGCTCCAGGTGAGGTTCGAACTCACAACCTCGGCATTGCTCAGCTGGCTACTGCTGTATAAGTACCACGCGCTGACCGATTGCGCCACTGGAGCTTATTTCCTCATATGTACATAAATGTGCATGTGCATTCCAGACATGACAGCTAACAAACATGCACAGGTTACTTTATTGATTAATTGTATATTCACAATGAGTAGAGTCTAAACATGGTGGATTCAGAGTATGGCTTCTTAGGTGTGCACATGCATACACACCCACAGTAAGTCACCAATCCAGTATGTGAATTATGCCGTGTTTTGGTGGGTGAATTCTGCCGTAATACAGTGACCTTGTGGCGCAACGGTAGCGCGTCTGACTCCAGATCAGAAGGTTGCGTGTTCAAATCACGTCAGGGTCATCAGCTTTTCTAAAAACCCACACTAGGATCAAGTTCCTCATGAGTTCATCCATTAGGTATAGATGTTGGTTAACGTGTAGAACTCAAATACGAAAAGGTTGACGCACTTCAACAAGGCAGCCGTTCGTGCATGCGTGTTTGTGCAGCCGTTTGTCCAGCATGTTTGTGCATGCGTTCCAGACAGGTCACTGTTTATATTCAGGTCACTGTTTGTATTCACAATGAGTATGGTCTAAACATGGAGGATTCAGAGTATGGCTTCTTTGGTGTGCACATGCATACACACCCACAGTAAGTCACCAACACTCCAGTATGTGAATGATGTCATGTTTTGGTGGGTGAATGCTGCTATAACACAATGACCTTGTGGCGCAACGGTAGCGCGTCTGACTCCAGATCAGAAGGTTGCGTGTTCAAATCACGTCAGCGTCATCAAATTTCCTAAAAATCCACACTAGGATCAAGTTCCTCCATTAGGTGTGTTTTGGTTAACATGTGGAGCTCAAATACTAAAAGGTTGACGCACTTCAATAAGGCAGTTTGCTGGTTTCACATCTACATTATTTGCTGTAAAGTGAAGCAACTGGCAGTAAACTTTACCACTTCATTCAGTGAACTTGTGGAACAACGGTAGCACATATGACTCTAAATCAGAAGGTTGTGTGTCAAATCCCATTGTGTCATTTGCCTTTCCAAAATGTGCAGTAACTCATCTTGAAACCAACACTGTAGGTGAGATGAAAAAAAAGGAGTTAAAACATACTTCCTGTATCTGCAGTATAATTCATGTTCATTGAGAATGTATAATCTATGACAGCATAAGTAGGGTGAAACATGTACTACGTGTTTTGAATCAAACCAGCATCAACAGTGTCTTGAGTTCAAAATTAGGTGGTCCCCCTTTTAAACGTAGCTGAGCGAAACTCGGCCGAGTTAACGGCTACTCGTGGTGAGGGTCAAACTCACAACCTCTGCATTGCTCTGCTGGCTACTGATTTGTAAGTACCGCAGGCTGACCAACTGCACCACTGGAGCGTAAATGTGCATGTGCGTTCCAGACATGACAGCTAACAAACATGCACAGGTAACTTCAGTGGTTAATTGTATATTCACAATGAGTAGAGTCTAAACATGGTGGATTCAGATTATGGCTTCTTAAGTGTGCACATGCATACACACCCACAGTAAGACACCAACGCTCCAGTATGTGAATGACGTCATGTTTTGGAGGGTGAATTCTGCCATAACACAGTGACCTTGTGGCGCAACGGTAGCGCGTCTGACTCCAGATCAGAAGGTTGCGTGTTCAAATCACGTCAGGGTCATCAGCTTTTCTAAAAATCCACACTAGGATCAAGTTCCTCAGGAGTTCAACTATTAGGTATATATGGCATTGCTCTGCTGGCTACTGCTGTATAAGTACCACGCGCTGACCGATTGCACCACTAGAGCTTATTTCCACACATGCACATAAATGTGCATGTGCGGTGCGTTCCATACATGACAGCTAACAAACATGCACAGGTAACTTTAGTGATTAATTGTATATTCACAATGAGTAGAGTCTAAACATGGTGGATTCAGAGTATGGCTTCTTAGGTGTGCACATGCATACACGCCAACAGTAAGTCACCAACACTCCAATATGAGAATGACGCCGTGTTTTGGTGGGTGAATTATGCCTTAATACAGTGACCTTGTGGCGCAACGGTAGCGTGTCTGACTCCAGATCAGAAGGTTGCGTGTTCAAATCACGTCAGGGTCATCAACTTCCCTGAAAAATCACGCTAGGATCAAGTTCCTCAGGAGTTCAACTATTAAGTATACATGTAAAACTCAAGGAAGAAGAAAAGGTTGACTCACTGGAACAAGTGAGTCTGCGGTTTTCGCATCCACAATATTTGCCGTAAAGTGTTACTACTGGCAGTAATATCATGAATAAAAATAAAAATCAGCATGGAGGTGGAAGGTGTATGATCGTCAGCCCCGTGACCAGTTAGCTTTACTGGTTGTGAGGACATCACAGTTGAGGACTGCAGAGGGTGGCTGTGACATGCCAGAAGGTTTTTCCTTCTGTGCCTTGAAAGGCAAGACATCAGCTGTGATGTTGATGAAGTGCTCTGCCCTAATAATACATAATAATGCCTAAATAA